TCAGTCGGGAGTCTGGTGTGGCGGGTACTCCGGCCCGGCACCGGGGTCCCTGAGGAGCTGCGGTCCCGGGGACACGGGCGGGAGGGAGCAGCCACGAGGCAGCATCTGGTGGAAGCCGGGAGCCGCGGCGAGGACAGGGGAGCAGAGCCCGGGAGGCGGGCCCAGGAGAGAGGCCCTGACCTTGGCCTCCCTCCCTCCGTGCGGCCATCAGCCTGGCGTTTCCTTCCTGCCCCTGGAGCCCCGTTCCTGTGCCACACAGAGCCCGGAGAGGTCCCCACTCGCCACAGGAGTTGCTAAGAACTCCCTCTCCTGGCCTCCCTCCGACATCAACCCTTCCAAATGCTCATCTCCTCTTTAGAAGGGCTTCTGACGGCAGGAGGGGAGGTGGCACAGCCACTGAGATGGGGGGGCTCTGGGCCCGGGCGACTTTGATTCAAATCCCTGCCGCACCACTTACGAGCGAGCTGTGTGAGCTGGGGCAGGCCGCTTAACGTCTCTGGGACGCACTTCCTCGAGAGGCGGCAGCAAAGAACGGATAGGAGTCCGTGGACTGTGAAGTCTAGCACTTACAGCACCACCGTGGGCTGTCGTTCCTATTAAGGCTGCCCTTGGTTCCCCTGAGGCCACCGAAGAGCAGGAATAACATCCAGCGGGACACAAAAGCTCTTGTGCATTTGGCGTCGGGAGTGCAGTGGGTGGCTCCCCCAAAACAGCAGGACCACCCTCCCGAGTTCCAGTCCCTTCTGGTCAATAGGAGACCAGGCCGCTTTCCTCAGTGCCCGCTGCGCTGGTGGTGACAGCGACTCGAGGCTAAGATCGGCCTTGGACAGTCAGTCCGGGCCTCACGGGGCTTTCAGGTGAGTGCAGGGGAAGGCGCTGAGGAACGCGGAAGGTTCCAGGCACAGCAGAAGGGAACTGCGGCCCTGGCCTCTCCGGCCTGGGCCTGCCAGCAGCTTCCTCCCTGGCCTGTGTGCCTCCTGAGACCCACGCTGCCTTCCCCGTGAGAGTTCTGAACCTCGGCTGTGGTTCTGAACCTCAGGGCCTTGTCCATCCTGGGGCGCCCAGGGGTCAGTGCGGTGAGGGTGTCTCGGGAGGAAGCGGGGAGTTACATGTTCCTGGCCGTGTGCTTCTCTCCAAATCCAGCTTCTTTCTGCTGCCTGTTTCCTTCCCTTGGGAGGAAAGGGCCGCCTTCGTCCCATGGATTATGGATCCCCTGGGTTAGAACTCGGAGCCCATGACCACAAGCTACTCATCAGAACGAACATTACTGTCCCGTTTCAACGAAAGGAACACAGAGGCACGGGCCGAGGTCTGCGTGCGCGTCAACCGCCTTCTTGTTTTTCCTTTCAGACTCCGTGCACTCCGTCCCTGGGCCTTTGTGACAACACCCGCCCTGGCCTCGGAAGAGCTCCCTCATCACAGCCGCCTCGGTGGCGGCCCAGCACAGGCCCCGCTCGCCTCACACAGACTGCCACCGGGCACCCTCCCCACGCCCTGCACACGCGGCTTCCATTGCGGCACCTGCCCCGTTAACGTGTGCCGGCCTCCGCGGCTCAGCCTTGAACCTTAGAGGGAAGGCCTCTGTCCCTGCTGCCCCTAGTACAGTGCTCGGGGCAAAGTGTGCTCAGGAGATCGAGTAGCTCCCCCTTCTCCGCGGGGGATACGTTCTAGGACCCCAGTGGGTGCCCGGACCCACAGACGGTACCGAACCCCATCTACGCTGTACTTTTCCTGCACACACACACCTGTGGTGAAGTTTAACTTCTAAATCAGGCGTGTGATGCGGCGTGAGGCCACGCGGCCCGGGGAGGAGGGCCATCTGCTTCCGGGCCACGGTTGATCGTGGGTAACGAACCACAGAAAAGGAAACCGTGGATGGGGG